GGGGGGCAGGGGCACACATTTTCCTGTGGTTTTTTTTTAGTTTGTAGAGAATTGTTTTAATAATCCATCCAATTCATACTCCTGCCACTTAACGGATCCTTGTCGCACTGTGGGTAAAACAAACGGATCCCTGTCGCACTGTGGGTAAAACAATCAAGATTCCGCTACTTTTTTGTAAATAAACTAACCTCCCTTCATCCTGTTTGGATAATACTGTAGTGCACTTGGGCAAGACTGTTTCCGCTGACCAGGTTGATCAGAGTGACCTAACAATCTGAGGTCCAGGGTTCAAGTCCTGGTTCAGCCACGTTTTTACATCACAACAGTGTTTATTGTTATATTACTTTTTTTTCAAAAAAAAAACCCAACCTCTGGTTTTCTTTCCAGAATTGATTATCAAAGAGATTTTCAGGCCGAAAAAAAATATAGTTTCCAATGTGTAGTTACGGTTTTGGCAATAATAAATTAAAGGGATCCTTAAGTGGGGTGAATTCCTCAGCAATGTAATACACTGATACTAACTCTATAGAGTTAATGTACTGTAATACACCGATACTAACTCTATAGAGATAATGTACGGTAATACACCAATACTANACTCTATAGAGTTAATGTACTGTAATACACTGATACTAACTCTATAGAGATTAGGTACTGTAATACACCGATACTCACTCTATAGAGATGATGTACTGTAATACACTGATACTTACTCTAAAGAGATGATGTACTGTAATACACTGATACTAACTCTATAGAGATAATGTACGGTAATACACCAATACTAACTCTATAGAGATTAGGTACTGTAATACACCGATACTCACTCTATAGAGATGATGTACGGTAATACACCAATACTAACTCTATAGAGTTAATGTACTGTAATACACTGATACTCACTCTATAGGGATAATGTAGAAATAATGTACTTTAATACACTGATACTCACTCTATAGAGATAATGTACTGTAATACACTGATACTAACTCTATAGAGATTATGTACTGTAATACACTGATACTCACTCTATAGAAATAATGTACTTTAATACACTGATACTTACTC